CAAACTGGCTTTCCCAGAAGCCAAACAAGAAGTGCTATTACTGGTTTGGAGAGACACCCTCACCTTTGTTTGGGTGTTGATTTTCCATGCCTTGCTGTCTGAGTGGTTATCTTTCTTACTCTCTTTTGTAGCTGGCTCCTAAGATGTGACTAGCATGGGCTTGCTGAAACTGGCGAGGTGACTCATGTAGGTACATAAACCAAACACCAAGTTCAGTTGCTGCCACTAACTTGCCATTTACTGCACTATTCCACAAATTCAATTGTTAGTTACACTCCTTTTGTCAAACTGTCTTCTCCCGAAGGCTTTATTCTTTATTCATACACCCACTTCACATGTGTACCATACATTTACACACAAAAGGCCTCTCCAGTCTCAGGAATCATCAGTACCATTTCACAGAAATGCAAAATTGAACTTCTTTAAACACCTACTAATAAGTTATATCTAGCTGGGGTCACCTGCATATATGAAGATAAAGCAGTATTATATTTCATTACGCATACGGGACGTATACCAGAGTTCTCTTCTGCAAGGGAACAGCAGCAATGACTATTAACTTACCAAGCAGTTTTATACTTGAAGAAATTTCGAAACAATTTCCAATTTTAGTTGCAGCTGAATGAAATCCAAAGCCTGAGATGTTCCTTTGGTGTTCACTGTAAACAGTATTTCAGTCCGCCTTGTCATTATTTCCAACACATTACCTTCATATTCTCTCATTTTTCAATACAGTACTTTCTTTAGTTGTGATCCTGAAGCCACACTCTTAGCAATGTTCAATATCAGGGCTGAGCCAACAGCTTGGGACTCATGGCTCCTTACAGATAGTTATTACAATAGCAGGCTTTCCCCCATTTCTGCCTCTTGCCATGCTTTTACATTTCATTGTATTGTCTCTGGTTTTGAGCAAAATGGTGGCACGACGTGCCAGTTTTGTGAACTCAGTAAATATAGGAGGGTAATCACAGGAGGACCCAATGATTAAGTCGAACCTGATGTGAGCATTTTCACTCATCCATCATCAGATCATCATCTTGCTGTACGTTCTATAGACTCTTGCTGTGGGACACTGTGGAGGGGGTTTGTGTTCAGTCAGATCACTTTTGTAATAAAAAGTATTTTAAGGCAGCCTGTGCAGGGGCATCCTATTCTGGGTAGATTCTTCCTCTTCTACTCAGTGCCAAAACTTGTCTTTTTTTATACCCATGATGTAGCCCAGACTTAGAAGTACTAGGAGCCATAAACATGATGGTGGCTACTAATCTGATAACCACATGAAAAACCTTCATGCCTTACAGTGTGAAAAAATCATTTATCTGGAAACAATAACAAAGAAAGTTGGTTCCTAACAGCATTAACCTTGGTCTCAGTTGTTGCCATCATGGTTCCTGGTGTTTTGATTAGCTTTTCTTTACCTTTCTACTAAGGGATTTTTGGACTAATATTTCTTCTGAAAGTCATCTGTTGGTTGCATCAGTATTTGGGGAGGGAGGGGGCCACTGCAATCATCTTTGGCTTTGAGCAATGTTAATGTGCAAACCAACATCCCACTTAAGTGTAGTATACTTCAAATTAATATATTTAAAAATGCTTTATTCTGTTCTTAAACAAACAAAAAAAAGAAACTCCAGTATTCTGACCACTGAACTTTTCCATGTGTATTTCTTTGCTTTCTAGAAAGAGGCTTGCTGTTTTCAATTCTCAACATGATATCGGTCAGGAAAACACTTTATTTAGGCATGAGAGAAAGTGGAGGAAAGACATTCCCTGCATTCTCAACATGATATCGGTCAGGAAAACACTTTATTTAGGCATGAGAGAAAGTGGAGGAAAGACTCCAGAATGCACATTCCCTGCATCTCCAGGATGGAGTCACCATATTAATAAAAAGCACATATTTACATGTGTAGGCACTGTCCACTCCAGTGGGCTGCAAATGTTTTCTATGTCCATCCTTGCAAATGCCATTTTTGATTTTTTGAACAGGTTCCAAAGTAATTACTCATGCAAGAGAATAGTATATTAACACTTAACAAAAGAACAGCTGTAGCATATTTTCCGTTCTTTCAGCAAACTGCCTACCCCATCATTTCTTTGTCCAAAAATACTACTGGCTTTATTATGTACAAGCACTGTTGTGTCTCAATCTAGCAAGCTGTTGACTTTCTACTAAGAAATAAAAAAATATATATCTGCTTCTGTAGTGTACTCGCATCTTAATGTTTTGCATCATACTACCAATCTGTTTGATCTTCAATATGGAAATAAAAACTTGAAATGAGTTGGGATTAGGGATGTACACATTCCACTTGTTGTGGGTCACCATTCATTCAGATTTGCTGCTATTTACAGTAACATTCTAAACAGAGTTACAGCCAGTTGATTTCAATGGACTAAAATGGTGTTGCTGTTTAGGATTACCCCTATAAATTGGTCATTCACTTGATAACTAGTTTGATATATGAAAGCTCGATTTCCTTTGAGAGTCCTTGGCATGCATGTTGCCATACAAGCACTAGGGCCTAGAGGGCTCTGTACTCCTGCATCCTACAGGGCCCAAATTTAGCCCTTTCTACACCTCTCCTCAAGTAGCACAGATGATCCAACTCTGCTACAAAGGCCACAGGAAAAGTAAAGGTCTTTTCACTCTGATTATGCTTTTGATGTAATTGGCATACAACAGGCATTTTGGAACAGGTTTGCTGTTTAACAATCTCGTAACTCCAAAACAGCCACCAAATTCCAAGTTTTTCTGGAATTCAGCAAGAACGCATGAAGCTGCTATATACCATTGGCCCATCAAAAGGAACCCTTACTGGGATTGAACTGGCACAGTGATAGATCCCTTAGATAAAGAAGAGTCAAATGCATATGGTTCAAAGGGCCAAAGTTTTCACTTGGCAAATGCTCAGGAAGCATGTTATTCAAATCTCCCACTGAAAAGTGGCCATTGCAATGTATTCCAAAGTCTTTCCTTTTGCCTGCAAATGCTGACCAGTTGGGATTACACACTGTCCAATCTATGCTGCTAATTTAAATGGAACAGGAAAGGACAGGTTGATGTTTATGCATGTAGTAGCAGTTTCTGATCATCCCTTTTATCATACAGGTATTAGCATCCTAGCCTTGAAAATAATTGTTTTGTGTGTACGAAGGATACCATAAGCTGTACTGTGGATCGGCTGGGCTCCAGAGTTACAGCCCCGGCCTAAACAGTATCACTGTAAACTAGACATGGACAAGCCACACCTACCAGTTTATTTTTGGTGAGTTCCTACTTAGAGGGCTATGATCACGACATGTAAGAGGATTTGAGAAGTCAAGCTTTTGCATTTGTGAAGGAGGTTAGATGGCAGGTTGCAAGCTGCAACTTGAACATCCTGATGACTGATTACATATATCGTGTGTCTACCATGTAATCGCTCAATAAGACACCTGCAGAAGTTTCCCAATACCAGTAGACATGGAAGGAACACACTCAGCTGTCTTAAGGGAGATAACTATCATCTTCAAAATCTAATTCCAATCCTCTGTGATATGTCTGACTTCTGTCTCAACATCCTTTTATAATCACCAGAATATTAATTATTTCAAAGATGTGTAGACGAATGAAAAGGAAGCTGGTAGATTTTGTAGTACCATACTGACATCAAAGAAACTAAGTGGCTAAATTAAAGCAACACATTAACCACTCTGAGAGCCAGTTTGGTGTAGTGGTTAGGAACTGGACTCCTTTTTAGCAGATGTTGGAACAACTGTTGGCCTGGAAATGTGAATATTTCTATACCATGGTGAGAGCAATCTATAAGGAACAATCTGCTAAAATGTTGGTAAATGGTAACTTTACGCAAAATATTAAAATTGGAAAAGGAACCAGGCAAGAATGTCCGTTATCCCCACTCCTATTCATTTTTGCCCTGGAATCACTAAAGAATATGATTAGGGAAGATACTGAAATTAAGGGACTTAGACTCAAAGGAGAGGAGTATAAATTACAAGCCTTTGCAGATGACCTGGTACTTATTTTAGAAGAACCTAAAACATCTATTAATTGATGTATTTCATATGTAATTAAAAAAATATGGACACTATGCTGGGTTGAAGATTAACCTTAAAAAAACAAAACTATTGTTAAAAGTTGCACTAAAGAACAAAAACAAGCAATACAAGATTGCTCAGGGATTGAGATTAAGAAGAAAATGAAGTATTTAGGAATAATAATAACTAATAGATGCAGCTCATTGTTCAAAGACAATGATATGAAACTTTTATTGGAAATTAAAAGAGATTTAGAAAATTGGAAACATTTGCAATTATCATTTATGGGAAGAATTGCAACAGTAAAGATGAATATTTTACCGAGACTGATTTTTTTCTTCCAAACAATTCCAATCATAAAAAAACCAACAATATTTTAAGGAATTAGAAAACTGGTGAGACAATTCATTTGGGAAGGCAAAAAGCCTAGAATCAAACTGAAAACACTACAAGACTCTAAGGAAAGAGGAGGATTTGGATTACCTGACTGGCAATTGTATTATAAAGCAGCAGCCCTTACATGGGTGAAGGAATGGATTACATTGGAAGATGCTGTTAAAGCTAGAAGGGCATGACTTAAAATTGGGATGGCATGCTTTTGTCTGGTACCAAAAAAGGGGCAATCATAAGTACTTCAAACAACATACATTTAGAGCAACATTAATAAAAGTATGGGAAGAAGCACAAAAGATGTATTATAATAAAACACCAAAATGAGTCTCACCACTAGAAGCATTTATAAATCCAATGACATTTACAAAGGAACAGATTTGGAGATACAAAGACTTGTTAGATAACCAAAATTGCTTGAATTGGTGGGAAAGAGTCTAGATACACAACAAAAATATTGGATTCTATGATACATCAATAGAACTAGATAAAATTGTGTGGTGCGCCAAAGGGAAATATATAAAATTATTTTATATGTTATTATTAGATATGAAAATGCAAGATGACGTTGTAAAAGAAACAATTATTAAATGGGCACAGAATGTTGGTCACAATATACAGCTAGAACAATGGTCTAAGGTATGGAAAATAAATATAAAACTCACAAAAGTTATTGCATATAAAGAAAATATATAAAATGTTTTATAGATGGTACATGACACCGGAAAAATTAGCTAAATGGTACCCAAATATGTCGAATGTAAGTTGGAAATGTAAATTAACCACTGGTTCTTTCTATCATATGTGGTAGACTTGTAAAGTTGTTAAGAATATTAGATATGGATACACGAAGCACTACAAAAAATACTGTGCACAAATATATCATTTATACCAGAATTGTTTTTATTAAATATCGTACCACAAAACTTTAACAAACAGGATGTATATATGATTTTACAGGTTGTAACTACTGCTAGAATTTTATATGCAAAGTATTGGGGAAAAGAAGAGATACCAACAATAGAAGAGATATTATATAGACTATTAGATGCCGTGGAAATGGATAAACTAACTTTACAATTGCAAGAAAAACAAGAAGGAAACTTTGAAAAGAAATGGGTGAGATTCTATAAATGGTTTGAAAACTATCTTAGAAAATCTAAAGAATAAACTATGAATTTAAAAAAAGATCATGACAAGAGAAAAATATTCTAAGAAGTAAGGTGTACCAGAACTTGATTCTTTATAACATGTGTATGTATCTCTGTGTGTGCATGTGTGTATGAACGCCCCCTCACCATAAAATCAACGCCTAGGCCAAACCGCTGGACCTAGAACCACAAAATTTGGGGAGAGCGCTCCTACCATGGTGTAGATGCTCACAAAGATGTGATTTTTAGAAATTTGACCCCTAAGGGGGTCAAAAGGGGTCAAATGTGCTCCCCCCATTGATTCCTATGTGGCTGCCTCTCTGCACCCCCCACTCTCTGATTGGTCAGCGGCAGAGCTCAGTGTTCTGAGGTAAAATAAACCAACAGTTACAGGGGACTGCAGAGAGCTAATGACAGTTGAGGAAATCAGGAGTGGCCAACAGCCACCTGTGAGGTGAAGCAAAGGTGCTGGCCCAACCTCTCTGATGGCTTCCAACACACTCCTCCCAACTCCTACACCTAACAGGCAGCCCCACCTCCACAGTGACTTCTAATACTCCTCCCCCTTCCTCCTCCTATGCTGGACAGGCAGCTGCCAGTCAGGTGTAGGAGAGGAGATGGGATGGCTTCCAATACAACCCCCCCCCTACACCTAACAGGTGGTTGTCTGTCAGGTGCAGCCCCACCTCCACAGTGGCTTCTAATACTCCCCCCTCCCCCTCCTACACTGGATAGGCAGCTGTCTGTCAGGTGTAGGAGAGGAGGTGGGGTGGCTTCCAACAGACAGGTGGCTGTCTGTCAAGTGCAGCAGCGGTTGCAGAGTGCTTAAAGCCATGAAGGAGCCCGCCCCAGCAGTAACGCCTTAGTGATCCTGCCAGCCCCGCCTCCACAGTGGCTTCTAATATTCCTCCCCCTCCTACACTGGATAGGCAGCTGCCTGTCAGGTGTAGGAAAGGAAGTGGGATGCTTACAGCTGCCGAGGAGGTTTGCTCAGCAGAATTGCCTTATCCTTACTGCTGGCCCAGCCTCTGCGATGCCTTTAAATACAATCCCCCCCAACACCAGACAGTCCAGTGTCTGTCAGGTGTAGTAGCAAGTGCTGCTGGCCCAACTTAGCCACACTCATCCATGATGGAAATGTACTCAAAATTTGTAGAAAACTGGTTTCCTTTATTAGGTCATTTAACTTCTCACAATGTGGGTTCTAGAACACTGGTTCATATGAACTTGCTTAATATCTGATTGCTCAGATGGTATTTTGAATATGTAGTTATGTCCCAGTTCCAAAATGTAACATAAATGATAAGGATTTTTGTAAAAAAAAAAAGGGGGGGGGTCGCCCCCCCCCCCCCCCCAATTCAATGCCCAAGCCAAACCCCTGCACTAAGAAACCCAAAATAAGGGGAGTGCATTCCTACCATGACCTCGACCACCCCATGAAGAGATTTCTGGGAATTATTCGTCCTAGCAGACAATGTTCCCTCTTAGCTGTACAGTCTCCTGAGCAAAATTTCTACTCTGTGAGTTACTGGCATTGAAGTTGTGAGCGAGCAATTTGGCCACTGCATCAATTAGTTTGCTCTGGAGCCCTCCTCCCTGAGCTAAGACAAAAATGTGTGAGCCGGAGGCTAAAAAACGGTGAGCTAGCTCACACTAACTCAGCTTAGACGGAACACTGCTAGCAGATCCAAACCCTCCTTACACGCCCCCTTCCCAGTATTGCGAGAACCCGGGGACTCGTGCAACTTTCGCGATATTTCCTTACCCCAGGAGAGCTTTGGTGCGGTTTCGGTTGTCGTAGCAACCACGCTTACGTTGGAAGCCGTGGGTAGTGAAGCTTTGTGCATGCCGAGGTTAGGAAATGCTGGGAAAGGCGCCTTAATTTAGGCTGGCAGTTCGGAAGGACGGTAAAACCATTTGTTCCGTTGTGGTCAGAACCTCGCATAATTCTTTCTTAGGATAGTCAGGATTTTGAATTGAATTGAGGGTTTTGCTAATTTTTAAAAAGAATCTGAATTTAAACGGTCATAAGAGTCATAATGTCGGTCCAAAATCATGCGGTTCGGCTTCTGAATCTTTTTTTCGCAGAATCAGATGAACATTTGTAGCCCTCGGAAACAGAAGTCGGAAAACGATGTTTGACCCGGAACGCCAGTAACGCGTATATAGTTCTGCAGCCGGAGACCTTTGGGAAACGCAACTAGCCCTCCAAGATGGCGGCGTGCGTCTTGCACTATCTGTGGCAAAGGCAGGTTCCGCAGATGTTGACTTTAGGAGCAGGCCGGAACGTCCTTCGCCGAGCCTTCGCTCTTCCTGCTTCCAGTTCTGATTTCCAGAGCGAATACTGTCTCGACAAACTCTACGGGCAGCAACAAAAAGGCGGGGACGACGGCAGCAACAGCAACACGGTAGTGGTTTGAGGCGTGGGGGTGGGGGATGGAGAGAAGAGTGAGAGAGTGTGGCCGATCAGGCAGAAAGAGTAGCGCTTGCTGGAATGTATGTCGGGTCGGGGGTGTTGCAACTGGATGGGTGGAATAGTACCTCAGTAGACAGAGAGGAGGTTTAGATCAAGGTTGATGAGTACAGCTTCCAAAATAAAGGGTTAAGTCACTGTTTCCAGCATCCCACCTATAAATACACTTAAGGAACACTAATAGTATTGTTCAATGCATACTATAACATTATGCTCATAACCTTTTATAAATTTCCATTTAATGATACCTGTTAAATGACTATAGGCCTAGGTGTGCAAACTAAAATCAAAATACCTTACCTGCATGCTTATAACATTTTTTTAAAATCCCATTGTTGCTTAGTTTTCTGTTTATAGATACAATTGTGTATTTTGTAATATCAAGTAGTTTTGCTTAACTACATGTGTCTCTGTTTTATGCAGGATTTTAAAAAAAAGTGTGTGCCTGATATTCCTGTAGGTGAGTTCAGAACATCTGAGGTAGACTTCCCTTTTTCTAAAATCAGCCCATCCATTTTACTTTCTTGTAAATCAGCTAAGCTATTTAATAGAAGATTCAGTTACTGTTACACAAACTGCAGATAAAGAGAAGAGATTGGATTTATACCCCGCCCTTCACTACCCAAAGGTGTCTTAGAGTGGTTTACAAACTCCTTTCCCTTCTCCTCCCCACAACAGACACCCTGCGAGGTAGGTGGGGCTGAGAGAGCTCTTGACAGAAACTGCTCTTTTTCAAGAACAGCTGTGCCAGAGTTATGGCTTGCCCAAGGTCATCCAGCCAGGTGCAAGTGGAGGAGTGGGGAATCAAACCCAGTTCTCCCAGATTAGAGTCCGCACACTTAACCACTACACCAAACTGGCTCTCTGTTTTAAAAAAATTTTAAACCATCAGTAAATATTGGTTTGTATTATATGACTTAGAGACACCGGTAACACACAAGCTTAGACACACTGGAACATTTCCTTGGTTGGAATGATTTCAGCCAGCAGAATGTGACTTTTTCACATACACACATCTTGCAGTCCGCAGAACTGTTCCTGGGGGGCAAACCTCAGGAAGAGTATTTTAGGGAGCATTTGGGGCTGCAGTAGGAGTGTGGAGATGAAAAAGGCATGTTCTGTGAGCAGAAATTGTTCCATCTGATGGATTTAAACTTATATGTTACCAGTAGAAACTCATGACTTAGGAAACCTATTTTAAGTTTCAGTTTACAAATTAAAATGTTGCTACAAAGTACCACCTTCATGTTTCATCTACCAAATAGTTATCTACTTAAATAAACATTATTTTTTTAAAATGTTCAACTATTGTATTGCCTGTTATCTCAGCTCTTCATGTCATGATATCTGTTTCATTAAGTTTCACAGATGGCCAAACTACTGGAGTCCCTACTGCTAGTGGACAGAGTCCCTATCTTAATCTTGTAGAAACTGAAATTTCATTTCCTGTCTCTTGTTCCAAGACATACTTAAGGTCCCTTGTTAGTTACTGAGGGGGGAAATTGCTCCATGATTTCTGCAATTTGAAATGCATTATGCATTAACTCTGCACTGAAATGCGTTTTCTTTAGAATCTAAGTAGAATGTTTACTTGATATTTTGATAAAATGGGTGGGAGTGTACTACAAGCAATTAATGCAATCTTAAGCATTCTGCTTGGGGTTGAAAATAAGTCTCTGTTTCTGACTTTCCATCAAATCTGGTTTGGATTGTAGATGGGCTTGGAAAGTGTTACAGTCACAGTATTCTAGAAAGTCAGAGTGCATATATTCTGTCTGACTTCAAGTGTTCAGTGGCTGCAAGCCTTAAAGTAGAGGAGTATGGTACCAGTAGAAATGGAGGCCTACCTCTGCAGGACAAGAAAAATGTTCTCTCAAAGGACTGTATCCGTGGGGTTCACTGTCTTGCTTCAAGAAATCGTCTCAATTCCATTCCTAGCTTTTCAGATACCTATATTACTATAAAATTATGTTCTTTTCCTCTTTATATACAAGAAAACATGAACAAATATGTTTTGATAATTACTTTTGCTGTGTTGCTAATCAGTGATTTTTCTTTTTTTCCTTTCTGTCTTCTAGATCGCTTATCTGTATCTTATTGCCGGAGTAGTGGCCCGGGTGGCCAGAATGTTAACAAAGGTACAGATATTAACAACATAAACAGGAAAAGCAGTCAGTGCCAGACTGTGTATCTAACACTACAGTTTTATGCATACTGACTTGGATGTAAGCTCCATGAATTCACTGGTATTTCTGAATAAAAATTCATATAACAGGAAGTGTTTCTCCCCTATCTAGATTAGTTTCACTTTCATTGTTCATTCTACTATACGAAAGGTCTAATTTAACCCTGTTTAAATCAAACTTGATAAACCTGAATACTACAGATCAACAACATATGAATTTCTGAAGCATTAAAAAAATAACTGGATGGTTTGTTTATTGTCAGGTGAGCACAGTTGGCCTGGCTGGGGCACCAGGGATGCCCCCGGTCCCAGTGCTGCCATGCTGGCACATTTGCCTTCTGGTGTAATGGGAGAAAGTGAGGGTTGGGAACTGGAAAACCCCTGAAGTGGCGTCACTTCTGAATTTTGCTACAGTTCCTCCCCACTTCCATCCACAGCATCAGCAGACAAGTGAGTCCAGCCATCTGGCCTGCCAGTGGCTTGAGGTGGCCCACCTAGGGCTCAGAAATTCCTTGGCTAGCCCAGCATGTTAGGCTGCTGTTGAAGACAACCTACAGACTGCAGCTGGTTCAGATTTTTAAAATTTATTTATGTTATTCATTGTCTGCCTATCTCATAGGGACGACACATAGTGAGTCAGTACAACCAATAAAATGGGTCATTCAGTAACTAATTTATTAGGATATTAGAAGACTGGAACCACCAGAAAGAACTGAAGCATAGCATAAGTATTAATTGACACATTAAGCAGTACGGAAATTACATAAATAGGATCCTACTTACCATAAGCTATGCGCAGCATTATAGACCCCACAGTCCCTAATCATTTATCTAAGCAAGTTTGTAAAACCATTTTGTACATTGCAACCCTATTGCCTGCACAGAAAAGATGTCTTGAATAGTTCAGTTTTGCATAGTTTGCAGAAAGCCAGGAGAGTGGGAGTTTTCCTGACCTCCTCAGGCAAATTATTCCACCAGGCAGGAGCCACAAGCATGTGTATGGGCAGTTGTTGATTCTGCCCATTTGCAGATTGGCACCTGCTGTTACTCCTGCTGACTTGAGTGAAGTTGTCATGATGGAGAATAGGGAGACAGGCGGTGCTGCAAATAAAAGGGACCAAGACCATGCAGGCCTTTGTGTAATAGCTAGTACCTTAAATTGAGCCTGGTGATAGGTGGGCAGCCAATGGAGCATCTGCAGAATGGGAATAATATGTCTAGCTCCAGATAATAACTGAGCCATGGCATTCTGGACTAGTTGGAATTTCCGAGTTGGTTTTGAGGGGAGACCAATGTACAGTGCATCACAGTAGTCAAGTTTCAATGTTATTGTGGCATGGATCCATGGGGCCAGGTCAGGTGTATCTTATGGGCTAGGCTGAGTTGTTAAAAAGCCTTTTTTGCAGCTGCATTAACTTGCTTCTCCAGTAATAAAGCCGGATCCAGTATGACCTCAAGGCTTTTAAGTGAGCCTGCAAGGGTCAATTGAACTCTATCAGAAGTGGAGAGAACAATGTCTTTCAAGAATGCAGCAGCCCTGTTATTGTCAGGTGCTAGCTGATTGGAACATATATCTTGCTTATCTTAAAGCAGCTACATTGGCTGCCAATTTATTTCTGAGGCCAATTTACAGTGCTGGTTATGACCTTTTAAAGCTGTTTACAGTCTAGATCCTATGTATTTAAATGAGTCTCCTCTCATATGTCCCTCTAAACCAACTGCAGTTCTTTGGCTGTTCCCAGCCCATGCATGTTCCATTGTTGCTGCCTCTTTGTGGAACAGGCTACCTGGGGATGTGAGGACAACACTGTCTTTAGACCATTTTTTTTTGGTCTGGGCTTTTAATGGGGTATAAATTGCAGGTATGTTTTAGGGGGAGGTATCTGGTTTTATTTTGTTTTGTTGATTGTAATGTTTTAATTGTGACTTGTAAGCCGCCTTGAGCCACAAGGAAGGGCAGGACACAGACATTTTAATAAAATGCCTTTCCTCCATCATGGATCCAAATGAAGCATACACAAGTACTAAAGTGGTCCTATGCAGGCACTGATTCAGTCCTGCTTAGCTGACTTGCTATGTCATGTGCCTTCCACCCGTACCCTGGGACTTACTTCTGATATTGCCAACAGCCTGGAGAAAATGTTGTGTCCCTTTAATAGAGGTGTAATGGCTGCTATTTACCAGATGGTGTTATTTATCTCCATGCTATGAAAAGTTTCATCTGCCCATTTCCATATGTTGAGTTCCTATTTTTATATATATATATATATATATACACACACACACACACACACACACGACTTTATTGCTTTTCAGACAACCATATGGTTGACGTATGTTGAGTTCCTATTAAAGGTTTCTGCAGGTTGTTGGCAACTACTTTCTTTAGAATAACAGTACATAGGATTGGAACTGTTGCTATATGGAGTTGTTAATACTTTCTACCATGACAGCAATTGCTTTCTGAAAATGCCCTGCAAAGCACAGGTTCAAATTACAAAAACATGATGCTTGTTAATCAGATCAGTTTATGGTAATAATGACATTAAGTGAACATGAAGCTCTGAACTACAATTTTGGGTAAGACCTATGACTTCTAAAATCTGTTTCTAGGAGTAATTTATTTTGATGTTTACTTTTCAATCACAGTGAATACAAAAGCAGAGGTCCGATTCCATTTGGCATCCGCAGACTGGATTACAGAAGATGTGCGACAGAAAATGGCAGTGATGGTAGATTTCATTGTTCACCTTTTCCTTTTATTGATTGATTACATTTGGATTCCATCTTTCTTCCCTACCTTTCTTCTCAAGGTAGTTTACATAGGATCTCTGGGTCTCCCATCTGGACGTTGACCAGACCCAGAACCGTTCAATTGCATCAAGGCTGCTGTATTATGTGCTCCTTAAATGTACTCTGTGGCATATGTTTTTCCAGATGTTTCACATACCATTTAACCCATCAAGTTATTGTTTTAGTGTTCTAGTTTTCTGTAGCACAGAATAAAATAAAGGTACCTTGAGATCTCATTTAGGGTGTGGGGAGGGATATACTCTCCTTCCAATTACACCCCCCCCCCCCAGTTTCCTTGTGAATTCTGCAGATTCAGTTTCTGCAAAAAGGAAAGCCAGTGTTAATAGCTAAGTTCACAACCAGACTATTTTTTCCTATAAAATTGAACAATCAGGTTGCTGACCATTGCAACTCTGTCTGTCTTTTCTGTCAGTTTCTTTCAAAAATGCACATTTTCAGAGTTGATCATTATGTTGTCCATAGGAAAATATGTTTATTTTTCCTCAGCACAAGAAAAAGATCAGCAAATCTGGGGAGCTGATTATTACCTCTGAAGTGAGCCGCTATCAGATGAGGAATTTGGCAGATTGCTTGCAAAAACTCAGAGACCTGATTGCAGAAGCCACTGAGAATCCTCAAGTTGTATCCAGAATAGATGCACAGATCATCAGAGGCAGGTATAAGAGTCCACAGTTTCCTTAATACTTCATCAGTTTGCATCAGCAGCTGCCTGCTAATATCATGTTAAGGATTACTTACACAGCTGGGTGGAATCTCCTGAACCAAATATTAGCCAAGCACAGGAGTATCTGGTCTCCAGCATGCATCTCAAAAATCATATTTCCTAATTAGGGCAGGGAAGGTCATCAGTGAATCCAAATGTAGTACATTAAACAAAGAAAACATCCCACTGTGTCATTTTTTTTAACC